CGAACCCTCGACCTCCCGCACATCAGTCCAGCGCTCTATCCATTGAGCTAACCGGGAGGCGGTTAGCTCATTTAGCATTTATATAACATTTAGCGCGCTGGTTCCGAAAAGACCTGTGTTCAAATTGTATTATTTTAGATAATGTCCACTCTTGTTGAGGTTTTAGATACGCTGGATTTCGAGCTGCGAAGTCCGTCGCGCGAGTCAAAAAAAAAAAAAATAGTAAAAAAAAGATTGACATTAGCGCGCCGCGCAGACCTCTGGCAGTAAGGCGCACGAAAACTTGGTGTATATCAGTTCTCTGATTTGTCGGGTACCCACGTCACTAAAACACCGATCGATATTGGGAACAATCAATCAAATCCTCAATCCAATCGAGAGACGCCGCCATGTTTTTAAAATATATGCTTCTTACCTTGGATATGGCATCAGAACGCTTCTCCTCTAGTAACACAGGCTGCTGCACTCCAAACGGTAAGTGATTCAGGAACTTTAGAAAAATTATGAGATACAAGGAAGACAGTCAAGTAAGTCAAATTTATAAAACTACGTGTAAGAAATGACACTTTTAATTCATACCTTCATCAGCATCTTGTATTTTTCATCTGAAAACTTCAAATGCAAAGATGGAAGGACCGATGATACTTTAAACCTAAAAAACAAAACGTACACTCAGTTAACGGTGCTGGAGCTGAGTTAATTATCTAAGCCGCCAGGAAAAACTTGCTATGATCTTCCTTATATCATTTGGATCTCATGTTTCTGGATTCAAATACAAAGAACTTGTTGGCACCTTAATAAACTAAATCACATTCTGTCTAACCCTAAACACGTACCTACGGCAAGACAATAGTCCATTTTACAGTTGAGTACTTGGTTGCCAAGCCTTTGAACGGAAGTGAGGCTGAGGGTGACCATGTTATGATACAAACGTTGCTGCTTTTGAAATGGAAATTTCTTTGTTATCATGCTAACTAGATACCCTCTCTATCACAACAAAGTCACCTTCAGCCTCACTCCAAATCAAAGGTTGGCAACTAAGTACACAACTGTAAAATTGCCTTTTTACTTACTCTGGCAGTTGAAGATTATCCGTCGTTATGCTGTTCTGTAACTTAATTCCAAGAGCAGTCGAGGGTAAAATGTGATGGGGTGAACTTGAGACACTTTGCATTGACTGCCACTTCACATCTTCAGAAACAACACAGAAAAAAAAGTTATAATTGCACGTTACAAATCCAAGACTATTAACAATAAAAACAGATATATTCCTTAAGGCACACGAGCGCAAAAATGTCTCAAAGATCAAGAACGCTGAGTCCCATACCCTTGTTAAACATCATAACTTGAACATCGTCCAAGGTCACCTCAAACTTGTCATAGAACATTTCCTCTAATTCATGTTCAGTAGCTGCCTGTAAGAAAATATATTGAAAGGAATCATAGCAATTTATTAGACTGACTTTGATTCTAAACTTGTATGAAAGGAAAACAAAAAAACACGAACTGATCCTAATAAACGACGACAAAAAAAAAAACGATGTAAAACATCATGTTTACAAGGTTATATGCTGTCGTTTTGCTTCTCTAGTATTCACATGCAAGTCGTTATCTTAACCCCTATTCATTAGTCCTTTTGTCCAATTACAATTCACAGTGCAGACTCCAAGTACATTCTCTATCCTGCACCAAGATTCTGCCCATACAACAAAACTATAGGTGCTTCAGTAATCAGTCTTAGTCATACTTACTCGGACACTTGTGTCCCGAGATGCCAAGTTACTGACAACCTTCAAATGTCCTAGGTCAACAGCAAGAACACTCCCATCCCTGGAAATGAGTGAAACAAAAAGAACAGATTTTAGTAAACCTCAACCATAACAAAGCTTTCTCCTCATTGGGAGAAAGAGCCTATGTACTTCCGAATAGAATGGGTATTTTGAAAGAGAAACATGCAACGGAAACCCTGACATTCTTGGAATAACCAAACCAACAGCTGTTTTTAAACCAATTCTGGGACGTCATGAATGTGTGGCCAAGTCACAGAGTTTTTATGAAATACGGGGCAGAAACTTGAAGACAAATTTGGAACGGTTTAGGTAAGGTACTGAAAAACGCGACAAATGGTAAATTTCCATCTACGCTTTTTAGCAGAAGAGAATTAAGGAGCATGCAGCTCCCTTAATTCTTAATAACACCGTTTAACTAAAGTTATCAAAAAATTAAAGGTAACCAGCCAGGTTCATTATTGCTCTTCTCAATTGCAATGCATTCTCTAATGTAAGTAATACCTTTCCAGAGTTCCATATTCAGGAATCACCACGAATGGCGACCTCACATCCAAATCAAGGTATGTAACCTTCAAGAAACAACGTCTATGAGAAACCATTGTTTTCACGATAAATTTCAGTGCAAGACGTAAATTACAAAGAACATAAATTAGAAGAAGAAAGTTACTGAGCTCTTTCCATCTGCATAAAGATTTATAGTACTACAAGGATTGTAGATTCCGTCAAGGGTTCATAGGTACAAATGTATTACCAAAATCGACTGATCTGCATGTTGTCGTGATCATTTTATCAAAAACGAGACCTTTTAAAAATCCCCTTTCCCTTCTTTAGAGCAGTAGCTCAAAATGAGACAACAAGACAAATTTAAGGCAGATCGGAGAGAAAAGAAGGTCGCAATATTTAACAATTATTCGCCGAAGGCGAGGTGAATATCGTCGAATAATCCCCGAGACGAAGTCGAGGGGATTATTCGACAATATTCACCTCGCCTTCGGCGAATAATTGTTTTAGTATAATTTCAGAGCTGAGCAACAGAGAAATTTCTAAAATCATAACATTTTAGTAACATTTATTATATTTTTAGCGTGGAGCGGTTTATATAGCGTCATATAAGGAACCGCTCGACCAATCAGATTGCTGGAAACTCTTTGCTCAGCTCTGAAATTATACTAATATGGTATAGATAGTTGGAAAATAACAGAAAATCACTCCCAAATCAGTATATTGAAAAGTCAGTCATCCATGTGATGATTATTAAGTAGCTTAGCTAAATATTTCCTTCTTAACCTCGTGATGAGTGATCGCATACTCCAAACCCGCCCGTGTCCACCGTCTCAGGTTCTGAAGCTTATTAGCTGCTGCCTTCCCAAGCCTGAGTGAGTATGGTTCAAACATGTCAATAAATGGTATTTTAACAAGGAAATAAGTAGCAGTATAAAGGTACATTGTTAGTGTGTGTACTGAGCCAAATATGTGGCCTTTGTTCTCTGCCAGGATTTCACTGCAGCTCGGGGTAACGCAGCATCAGACAGGTAATCGGAAAGCTCAGGTTTGAATCCTCCCTGAAAATGACTATTATTTCTATGTTCCACCCTTGCATAAATTAACTCAACTTCAATACCATTCTAGATTTGATCACAATTTCGCACAAATTGAAAAGTTAGCTCTGAACGGAAAGCCCCTCAGCGAAAGTTGACGAGCCAAAACCAAGTTCGAACTGCTAAAATAACATGCAATGTAAATACCACAGCAAACTGTGGCAGATCACCTTGTTTACTAAAAGAATACTTCGGAGAATAACCAGCAGAAGTGCATTAGCCATTTTATCGTGGTTACAGTGACAAAAATTCACTTACTCTTGCAACTTTGAGTTCTCTGGCATGTACAAGAACGCGATTATTTTATCAATGGTGTGCTGAAAGAAAAAGTATGAAGTGGATGGTTATGATGAAGGAAATGAACTTTGAGGCAAATTGTACTTTCCCCTTAGGTGCTAAGTGTGAAGAATGAACTCACGGTTCATTCTAGAAATTGGCCAATAAAGGGCAAATGGGCCCCCTCCAGTAATTTTTTTGGTGTTGTTGTTGTGCCCGATTTGACGCGACAACGTAACTTTTATGCGGCATCTTTTTTAAATCTGCGGAGATCCCGCGAAGCCGTGCTCTAGAATAAACCTTGCAACTTACAACATTCAACGGATATAACATGCTAGCCCTAATTTGACTAAGATGAATAAACGTTCTAGATTATGTCGAGGCTACAGATATGTATATATATATAACACATACAGTGTAAAGTTATATTCTGCATACAAGAGAGACTCATCGCATGGCTACCGAAACTTCCATGCATCTCCATTTTTGTAGCGTGGAGAAATAATTTCAATATAACTTTTTCCTCCTACATGTCGGTGGTATGCTTCTCTATGGCAACTTAATCCTCCGCATTTCACTTAGCTTTTTTCCTGCACCATTTAGTCATTACTTAGTTATGCTCCAAGACTGAGAGAAAAACTGTCAGAGTTAACATTCTGGTCCAAGAACACAACACAGCCATCCTGGTTATGGCTCGCATCCAGACTATTCGATGCTAAGTCCTAGGCATTGCCCCTAGAGCTTCCATGTTCCCACAGATTTAAATCGAATGTTGGTTAAAATTCAAATTTGTGTGAGATATTTCGTTGGAAAGTCAACCTCAAACAAACGCAGGAGAGCAAAAATTAAGTTGATATTTGACGATCATTTCTTCAACAACCTACCGCATCATAAATAGCCTCAACAGGCTCCACCTTTAAGGATGCCGCATAGTCCGCTTTCACTTCAAGAGGCTTAGTTTCCAATGTACATTGCACCAGAGCTGTTTCCTGCCCTAAATTAAACCCAAAGAAACTAGAATGAGGGTCGCCATTTTAAGGGATTCTCGCCCTCACCAACTATAACAAAATTCTCGAACGTAATTGGTCATCACCAGCCCGATTTGAGCACTAATAAGACAGTGTACATGTCATGTTTGTAATTGGACAGAGTAATAGGACGGTTAAAGAGACAGTTAACACATCATGCCTGTGTCAATGGACAGAACGCGTCAAATGTGTGCGCTATTGTCGCGCACCTCCCCGAGTTAACTGTTCTTTTTTTTATGAAAACGTATAACCATTGTCTAGTTTCTTTCTCGAATTTTGGCATAGTTTTGATTAATTGGTAACAGGATTTCGTGACCCCTAATTCTGTCTGTAACCATACTCGTGATAAACGACCGCGAAGCGGGAGTCCGAATTTGTTAACCACTCGTACGATTACAGACCTTATATGAAGGGGCAAAATTACTGAATTGTGATTGGTCAAGACAGAGGGAATTTTTTCTTAATTTTTCTAATTGCCCCGGGCAAAATTACTTGAAAATGATTGGCTGACAATCGCTTAGCAACGGCTGCCAAGGTAAAGAAATTTCTGTTTTTTTTGTAACAATGGCGTCCCGTTTTGCGCGAGATCAGTAAGAAAACATTTTGCCCCTTATATTATAAACAAGTAATCACATGGTTCCTCGTAAAATTAAGGATTAATATCACTTGTGTTTTCGGAAGTTGCAGAAATTGCCCTCGTCGCTGCGCGACACGAGCAATTTCAGCAACTTCCGAAAACACGCGTGATATTAATCCTTAATTTTAATCGGCCCCAGGCCATTACCTATACTAATTGGATTCCACTTGGTCCTCTTACCAGTACAAATCCAAATACTGGAAAATATTTTTAATGTGATTTCACACTCACTGTTAAGGGTGCTCTTTGATGAAACAAGAATAAGCTCGTTTTCCGTAGCCCCTTCTGAACATCCAAGCATCTTAAATCTGTTAATCTTTCCATGAAACCTAAATCCCAAACGATAATAACCTTTAACTAAATCTCACGTATTCATTTACTGGGAGACTTCTCTCTAAACATGGTTAGACAAATATAAAAGATCTCGCGGAGATTTATGAATGAGGCCCTCAAAAAGTAGGGCGCTTAACTTATGGAGCTCCCGCGGTGCATCTACGTCACTCGAAGAGCTCCCCGCGGCGCTCTAGCATCAGTTTTTTTATTTTTTTATTTTTTTATTTTTTTACTCGAGCGACGGACTTCGCCGAAAAGGAGGGAACTGCTCGTATTCTACACAGGAACTGACAGGACCTTGTACATGTAACCGTGATTTCATTGATATTTATCAAGAGCCTGAAGTTCCTACCACTCCTACCACTCCTACCACTCCTACCACTCCTACCACTCCTGGTTCCTACCACTCGATTGAGATCGACAGAAAAATTTCTAGTTGAAAAGAAACATTTAAGCTATGCCAACCTAAAGCGGTAATAGAAGCAGCAGTTAAATTTCGAGAACTGGGACCATTACGAGAAATTAAAAAATTAAAAAGGACTAGTTATCAAGAGTAAATCTATAAAGAAAGTGACACCGCGGGAAACTTCTACAATAGTTAGAGAAAGAGTACGCATTTTTGGTTTGTAGAATGTATAGTCATCATCCTTAACTCACCGAAAGGCTCCCTGAGCCGGTCTGTGTTCTAAAGTTACATCAAATCCCTCAGTATCCAATTGAGCTATCTTACTGAAAATGAAATATGACACGACAAATGGTATAACAGGCTGAAGAAAACCTAACAATGAAAAAGTGTATCGATCCATGGTGTCATTTTCTCAGACCATGCCACTCATTTTCAATCATTGCTCACATTCTTCGACTTCCGGTATGTTCACGCACGATTCGCCTTCCGGCATATCATGGCACTTCTTTCAGACACTGCTTACGCCTCATGACTTCCGGTATGATAGCGCACGATTCGACTTCCGGTTTGACGATTCATCAACGACCGTAGACGAATCGCAACAGTTTGGGTGTATTGGATATGTATATCCAGTATAGTTAGCATGTGACTCACCAATTTGTTGTGTCCAAGAGTTCAAAGGTACATTTGTCCAGGTTGAAGGTAACCCTTGATTTAATGAACTGCAAGAAGAATAGTACGTTTGAGCTTAAACATTACTGGCAAATATTTTTCAAAGTCAGCGGTGATTTGCCACGTTTCCTATCCATTGTGCTTAATGTAAAAAACTTGATCTAAGATGGATGGATCTGATAGAAAGTCAATGGTTAAGAAAATACTTGGAGGCGGGGATAACAAACAGGGTACAAGGGAACTAAGGAGAAGTGTAAGAATAGGGAAAAGAAGGAGGAAGGATAATTAAAGGGGGAATGAGGAGGAGGAGGAGGAGGAGGAGGGGTAGGGCATAGGGTAGGGAGAGGAAAAAGGAATGGAGAAAAGGGAAGAAGTCGACCGGAGAAGGAGGAGAGGGAAAGACGTGGTTGTAGAAGAGGGGAGAGAAGTGGTAGGGAGAGGAGAAGGAAGTGGAGAAAGAGAAGGAGGAGGAGTAGGACTTAGGGGAGGAAGGGGATGGAAGAAAGGTCGGGAGAGAAAAAATGGGGTGGAGAAAGAGGAGGAGGAGAAAGAGGAGGAGGTGAAGGAGGGAGAAATACGTGGTTTTGGCAGAGGGGAGAGGAGGGGTACAGCAGAAGAGAAAGATGTGGAGAAAGAGGAAGAGGAGAACGGAGATAAACAAGCTTGAAAAAGAAGGGAAAGGAGGGATAGGGTGAGAAGGGGTGGAGAAAGAAACAGGAAAAGGGAGAAATACGTGGTTGTAGAAGAGGGGAGAGGAGGGGTAGGGAGAAGAAAATGGGGTGGGGGAAGAGGAAAAGGGAAAGGGAAAAGTTGTTACCATATGAAGCATGAATGCAAAGTGCTTGTCAATGATCACAATAGCCCTACCTCAGTTGGATATTTCACCCGCACACTTTCACTATAATCAATTGCTTTATACAATTTTTCTTTTTCCTCGACAGGAAGAGCTGCAACTGAGAATTTTGACCAAATATCCTCCTCTGTAGAAAGTTAAGCAGGAAAAATATTGGTTGTTTTATTAGTGTTTTTCCGATACCTTTTCCAAAAAAAATTTCAAATATTTTCATCAAATGTAAGAAAAAAAAATCTCAAAAGGAAATTTGAATGAGAAGTAATGGAAGAATTAAAAAAATTTTCAATTTGGGGAAAATTACAAAGTGTTCTACAAGGTTTTCAGTTATCTGAATCACACATTGAGGTCACAAGAATAAAGGAAATGATCACTTGGTTGTTAAACAAATTCCCCCTTTCAGTATTGAGAATTATAAAGAAATTCATCTTTATTCGATTCGAAAGAAGGTTACAACAGCAAATAAAAAGCAAACAATGAAACTGCGAGGTTAATAGTTAGATGATGCAATAGAAGAGCACGTGTAATTCCCTAGAGAGTGTCACATGATCTTATCCAACGAATCAACATGCATGCCTCCAACAGGCATACTGATGTTAGGGTGACTTGTTGCAATGTCTTTCAGCAGTTTCTTAGTTTCCAATCTCCATGCAGCATTGGCATTTTTGAATAAGTTTTTGCTCATTTTTGCACCAATTAACAGATTTTTTCCTAGAATGTCTCTATGTCATTTCATACAAGTATCCTAACCATCACATGCGTTCTTGCTGTCCTTTCTTCATTCAATTTTCATTTACCTTATTTGTTATCATTGTAAATTACTGTTATAAAAGTCATTTCTTCTTGTATTTCAGAAATCATTGGTTGGGTAATTAAAAAATTTTGAACAATTCTACAGGTGCATGCATTCAGTATAGGTGCAGTGTAATGGGTAAAGGCAGATCAAAATGTTGATCACCCCTTTTGTTGCATTACAATCATGAAAAATACAATGTAAACTTGTCTTTCCATACCCTGTTTCCTTTGATTCGTGACTCCTTCATAATCAGTAGAGCTTTCAGACCCAATACCCAACCACAACCACCACGGCTTCGATTTACGTTTTTTGTTTGGATTAAACCTTTGACTTGGAGGAACCTACAGAATATAAAGAAAGATATAAATTCCCTCAATGTAAAACCTAAGAGAAATGCAAAAGTCTGCAAATGTGTCCATTCAAGCAACATCACTTGCAGTGAGAAACCTACTTCTATTTCTGCATGTCTCCTTGCAATCAAAATACTTGGAATATCAAGTTTATCTTCCAGGGACTAAAAGAGAGTAGATTAATAATACTGTAAGTACAAAACCTCCCACAGAACCACCACTACACAAAACAAACTAAATTTATTCACTAGATAAATGTAATCCCATCATACCTGAATGCTATTTCCTAAGGAAGACTCTTCACCTTCACTCAAACCTTTTAACTTTCTTTCCCAAAGGTGCTTATACAAATGATACTTTCTCCTAAATAGAGGATGATAAATCAAAAGTGTAATTAGTAAATACAATAATTCAATGACATTTAAGAGCTATATTATAGTAACTGAACAGTTAAAAGTAGTATCTCCACTCAATAATGCAGTTTTAGATTTAAAGTCAAGGTAATGCTGTTTTGCATTGTTTGCTTTTGATTTACTGCATGGTGTGATTCCTGCAGAACATTAAATCCAGATATGACTTTTTTTTCCCCTTACATTACAATTATTTCATTGCATTTACTTAATTGCTCTTCATGATAAACTTCCTTATCTTGTTTGCCCACCGTAATATGATTTGATTGTATCTTTCTGCTCAAAGGAAGCACTAAATGTGTACCCTGATCTCACTCTTGCAAAATATTTGCCAATCTTCCCAAGATAAAAGCTAAAGACAGTCAAACTTCTATGACACCACCACTGCACTATTACATTAAATTGTCCTGATGGAGGTTCATTATTGCCTCATTTTATTTCTCTGGTCCCTACTCTCCCAGAGATCCCACTTCAAAGGAGCTCAACTACAGATCGTAAACCTTGATGTCAACAAAATTGATGAAAAACAGCCATGGTGAAAAACCTCACAGGATCTTTAACGATCTTTGAGGATTGTCAAAGACCTGTCAAGGATCCTTAAAGACGAGGATCTTCAAAGGATCCTAGAGGGATCTTTGAAGGATCTTCAAAGATCTTTATATGCAAAATAATTTGATAAAATCCTCATGGATCGTATGAAGATCCTCTGAGGGTCCTACAAAGATCCTTGTAAAGATCCTAGCAAACTTCTTAGTCAGGATCCTTCAAAGATCCTCAAGGACAAAACAGGGATCTTTCAAAGATCTTAAAAGGATCCTTATCAAGATGTTTGCAAGATCTTACAAGGGTCCTTATCAAGATCTTTAAAAGATTTTTGTAAGGATCTTATAAGATCTTTAAAGAAAAACCAAGGATCTTTCAAAGATCTTAAAAGGATCCTTTGCAAGATCTTTTCAAGATCTTTGCTAAGATCCTCAAGGATTTAAAGAGGATCTTACAAGGATCCTTATCAAGATCTTTTCAAGATCTTTGCAAGGATCCTACAAGATCTTTGAAGAAAAACCAAGGATCTTTCAAAGATCTCAGAAGGATCCTTTGCAAGATCTTTTCAAGATCTTTGTTAAGATCCTCAAGGATTTAAGGAGGATCTTATAACAATCCTTATCAAGATCATTTCAATTAAGGTCTTTGCAAGGATATCCTACAAGATCTTTGAAGAAAAACCAAGGATCTTTCAGAGATCTTGAAAGGATCCTGTCCAAGATCTTTTTAAGATCTTTGCCAGGATCCTCAAGGATTTAATGAGGATCTTACAAGGAGCCTTATCAAGATCTTTTCAAGATCTTTGTAAGGATCCTTAAAGATATTTGAAGAAAAAATGAGGATCTTTCAAAGATCTTATCAAGCTCTTTGTAAGGATACTTCAAGATCTTCAAGGAAAACCTGAGGATCTTTCAAGATCTTTAAAGGATGCTTTCAAAAATCTTATTAAGATCTTTGCTAGGATCCTGGAGGATTTGATAAGAATCTCACAGAGATCCTTGTCCAGATCTCGACAAGATCTGTGTGAGGATCCTTGAAGATAGATCCTTTAGAACAAAACTTGATCAAGGATCTTCTCAGAGGCTATGATCTTTGTTTGAGTCCTCAAAGATACGTTTTTCCCGCCCTTGGTAAATCTTAGCCAGAACATTGACAAAGAACTACAGCATATTATATCAAATATAATGGCATGTTGTAAATAGAAGGCAATATACTAATAGGAACAAAGTGGGTAACAAGAATCTGGAGGTTCCAGCATTTTTTAGTATTCAGGTAATTTGGGGAAAAGTTGAGCAAAAATGACCATAAGTGGAAACATTCAACTTCCTTGCAAAACTTTGGTTTTTATCTTCATTTTTAATTTCTTTGGTGATTTGGTGACCACAAAGTTTCAGCCTGTTATCATGTACATTACCTGTGCTCCTTTATGTGATTCCATGACCAAGTTCGAAATTTCTCCTCACATATAGCTGTGTATGCATATTTCCACCTGCAAGATTGTAAAAGAAAATGAATGCACCCTGCCTGATAATGTTGTCATGCCATAATTCACACCCATTATCAGCTTGCATGTGCATGAAGTTCTTGCACAAAATACTCAAATTGAAACCCTTAATCCCAAGTCTGTTAGCTGCTTTGCTGTCTCTGTTCTTGAAAAATACTTCTTTATGCATTTCAAACAACAAACTATCACCACTTCATTTTTTACCTTTCAGACATATGACAATTCACCATTGCCTTCTTCTTACACCCTTTTTCACAGTTATATACTAGGAAAAATTCTGCTTTCTCTCTCTTTTCAGTGATATAAATTAAATAATTTTTCTCAATGAGAATAACAATTATAATATTTCAAGCATTCAATTCCAGCTTTTAATTAGACTTTTGATGCCTTGGTTAAACATTTTAGAACAATAAATGTCTCCCTGACAAAGATTCTTGGAAAACTTGCATGAGCAGTTTCTGTGGGCCATTTCTTAATTCTAACTGAAATTTACAGACTCGATTGTTTTACAGAATACATGATTTTTATAGGCAGTAACGTGTGCCTTTTTGATACCATGCAGCTGGATCCTCCTTTACTGGTGATGTTGGCTGATATTTTAGGTACATTTGGTTTATGGTCATTGACTCGAATGATTCAATCAAATCCATCACATTCTGAAACTACAATCAAAAAAGAAAAATGAGTTAACTATATAAAGATGAAAACAGTAAATGGAAAAAAATACAAGCACTATAATATCTTACAAATAGCATCCTGTCTGAGCTCAGTTTTTTCAGTTTGATATTTACCTGGGTCTGGGTAAATACCAGTGATAACTCCTGCTGTAAAACCTCAATCAAAAGCTGTAAAGAAAAAGGCAACATTACTTTTCAAAAAATATTGAATGGTGTTTTTCTATCAGTCATATAGAGCTTTTCATAAAGAAGGCCATGGTTTGCAAATATCCCTTTGGCCTCCTGGTTTGTAATCAGTAGAATACCTTGTAGACTTTTCAAATACCTTGGGTGTATCAAGTACTATTTCTGATGACTGGTCCATCACAACATGACATTCGGCTGACAAAGGCTTCAAAACTAATAGGAAATAAGTAACCAACATGACTATTAAAAAAAAATTATACATGTGCTGTTGGATATTTTAAAAATCTATCATTTGAAAGACAGATACAAGCACAAGTCTTTAATAAGTTTGTAGCTTTGCTAGTAGCAGATCAAACAGATTCCTAATCATCATCAGTCATTTTAAGTTCTTCTTTTCCTTAAACAGCCACTCAGTTACTCTAACAATGTGACAATCTCCTTATTTAAAACACCTTTAGTTTTAACCTTCTCTCTATCATTAAATCTTTGTTACCAGACTTGGTATACCTACTGAATTCATAATTGGATGGAACACTTCTTTTACTTGATACACCATGGCTCATTAGCTCCTGCAAAAGAAAAACATGAACCATACCATATCACTTAGGGCAGATCTTCAGCCACTAAACATTTATGGGTGGTGTCACCCCTTTTCTCCTAAATTGCCTCCCCCCTTATTCTCTGAAACCTTCCCCCCTCCCACCCTGTATCCTCTTACTCACCCCCACCCCCATCTCTGTCCAAGTCAATTGCCAGTAGCTTTAATAGTGTGCTCATCACAGTTATTTGTTAATATCAGAAGAGTTTTTAAGAATGATTTTGCATTCTCTTTCACTAGGCTTGAAATTGATGTTATTCATTTGACTGTAGGGTTAAAAACATGGACATTCTTCATATGAAAATAACTTTTCCACAAAATATAACTTTAGGCATTGCTAGAAACATACCAGTGTCCAGGAGAAGGATTATAAATGCATTATGAAGATAATTAATAAGTTCGCTAAACACAAATGCAAAGAAGCCTCCAAATATCAATCAACTACAGGTAAATGATAAGTTTCCACAAGTAGCATACAAATTATTTATTCATAAACTGCTCTTGTTCAGCGATTTTAAACTTTGAGGATACTAGCGCTATATAAATACTTTATTATTATTATTATTATTATTATTATTATTATTGTTATTATATAGGGTTCTATTATTGTTATTACATATAATTTTTTTATAGGGTTCTAGATTTGCCATTCACCTTTCTCTTTTCTGTATAGTTTTCGATGTGCTTTTACTTATCAGATTATTAGACTTTGAATCTGTTCAGATTTGACTCCATTATTTATAGTTTTCCAGATGCTTTGACATTAAAAAAAGGAGTAGATGTGAGCCAAAAGTGAGTTATTTTGGATCGTTTTTTACGCTGTTAATATTTTGTATTGTAGAGGATTTTATGGAAATTATTGCTAAATAAAGATAAAAATGTGCTCATTATTGTTATTATTATTATTATTGTGCAGCAGTCTATTATTATTATTATTATAAATTATATTCCATATCATCACCTTCCAAGAGTCTTGCATTGAAAAGAACTGCATTGAAGTCTGATTTGTGTTCCAGTACACAGACAAGCAATCAAGACTCACTATCTGAAGATTGGAAATTATTGATCACTATTAATAACAATAGTATTGCATTTTAAAATTGTAAATAGTACAATGGTAAAAGTTTGAAAATAATTTTACATACAGTAGCTAATACCCTTTGAATCAGCAAATACCTTGTAAATAGTTTTGGCTGATGCATCTACTACACACTCCTGCCATAGTTCATTGGTTGTCTAATTAAAGTAAAACAAAGCCATATTTCAGTAGTTATCACGTGAATAACATCACAACTATAATGACCAGAATGGATCTGTCAGAAGGCTGAGTTGTGAATGCTGAGTGATAATTAGACAACCTGATTCCCAGGGCATCTCTTTCTCCCTGTTCCTCCCTTCTCCCCTGCANCCCCTTAAAAAAGAAGAAAGGCCAAAGCACTGTGACAATTTTCAAAACAGTTGTGACACATACCAGTAAGTCTCCTGGCTAGTATTTTTCCATTTAAGCCTTCAAAAGGAGCCTGATTATTTTGATTTAAGTTAACTGAGTGAAACCAGAAAAAAACTTGCCTCAGCTGAGAGATTTTGCAGAGTAAAGCCCAAAGTAAATGGTTTATTTGGAGATGTAACCTGTCAGTATAAAGATGACCAGCAATAATTAGTTGTGAATCACAAGGCTGGCTTTTAACTGTATGGGCCAGGGAGAAATCAGGAGTCAAAAAATTTGTGATTATAACATCACTTGCTTTTATACCTTATCCTCATAGCGAAAGTGGATATTCTTCACAGAGATCTATAAATATGTAAAGAAACCAATTTTATCAAGTGGTGTATACAAAGTGAACGCAGCACAAGTTATTTATACCAACCCTTACATGTAATTCAGCAAAGCACTGTATTATACAATTATATACACAAATTGCAAAATATTTGTTGATCAGTTTTAAGATTTACCTTTAGATTCTTCAAAACTTGAGCTAACAATTTGTCCACAAAGGAATCAGAGCCCTCTTCAGTATCTTTTGGCTTTTCTAAATAAACAAGAGTCCTTAATTATACAACAAATATTAAAGCATTTCTACAATATACTTGGGGTTTTTATAAGAATTACATGTACAAGGTAATCCTATATTATAAAGCACTTAGCCAAAAAAAAAAACAAAAAACCTTCTACTACATTTATATGAATTAATTAATACCAAATCACATCAAGTTGAAATTGTTAACCTTTGTTGATGTCTGTGTCCTCAATTCGCTGTTCAATCTGGGTGAGGCGTTCTCTTTTGGCAGCAATTTCTGATGCCTTAGCCTTCACAGGGTCGTATGTTCTCTCTATGGACAAATACAGAAGAGTAAACAAGCACTAAGCAATGCCTTTAGGAAACAAAGCAACTTCTTAAATAGCAAGAATGTATGTGACTGTTATCAAAAGCTTTGAAGGAAGACTGCAGTTAAAACCTTTTATTCACCCACTAAGAGTGACCAGCATCTAATTTCTCCTTACAATATCAACCCTGAATCAAACATTAGGGTCATGAGAATAAAGGAAACAATCACCAATTAAAAAAGCTCTTGATTGTTAACATTTTCCCTACCAAAATTAAGTACACTTTTATTATACTATTTCTGTAATCAAAGTGTACTAGTACAGTAACTGCAAATAAGATACACAAAGTATACTTTCAGTAGACTTGAACTATAGTTTAAAGAGCTACCACAAGTATACTAGTCTTGTATCATACTTGTTCCCACTTGAAATTGGAACACCCAAACTGAGTATTCTTAAAGTACACTTGAAAGGTATCGAAAATTTTTTTAGTGCAAAAACCACTAGCGGCAAAGTGACAAGTACATTTTAGAATGGTACTCAAGATATAAATGAATGGCTACAGCTAGGTTTTTCCCCATCAGTACCTTAGGAAACATACAGAGAACAGTATAAAGAACAGCAAAGAGAATATGCCTACTGACAGTAAGGGTGTAAAGGGTTCAAATCATTGTTGATACCTCACCTCGTATGGGTCTTGCTATCAGATACACATCATGCACTGCTATGTCAAAGGGTTCAGAATACAGATTGGTCCATGGAATTGTCAGAGAGATTTTCCCTACAAGTAAGCCAGTAAGCAAAGTTGTACCACNGGGGAGGACATCCATATCACACAGTAATCTTGCATGTGGGAAATTAACGTCTCCTACCCCAACCCTGCAGGAGACAGGACCTCCATTTACTCGTCCCTATCCGAGAAGACTAGAATATCTAACCATTTCTTGATGTTACAGAAAGGTAGCAAATTCTTCTCAATTATTTTAAGACCTTGAGTGTTGGTCTGGCTGCGGCTTGAACCCTCAACCTCCCACACAACAGTCTAGTGCACTATCCATTAGGCTAACTGGACAGCGGTCAACATAATACGTAGTATAAAAAGAAATCTTCTCTCACAACTTACACTTACATTTACTTAACCATCAAGTTGTAAATAAATACTCCACAAGTGTGTATTAAAGAGGTTATCTCAAAGATCAATCTCTAGCTAAGAAGCTGTCAAAATAACCTTTAACCTTTGAACTCCCATAAGGGATCAAGTAAGAATGTCTCCTTACACTAGATATATAATAATAATAATAATAATAATAATAATAATTTAATTCTTATATTGCACACTTTCCATGAAATGATCAAGCACTCATTACATATCTCAATAATAGTTATTATAAAAATATGCTATGATAAAATTAAAGCATACAACATATGTTAAGATACTAGCAACTATCATGATAAAATTTTAATAAAAATTAATAAAAAGCTTCCTTAAAGAGGTGCGTTTTCAGGGGGCACTTAAAAATCCCAAGATCTGTAATAGAACAAATCTCACGCAGTAATGCATTCCAATGTGCCAGAGCTGCGACCTGGAATGATCTGTCTCCCAATGTAACATTACTTCTATAAGTTGACATTGCAAGCAACAAACCATCCAAGGAGGATCTTAATTTATAATTTCCTGGCTCCGGTTGTTCAAAGGGCGGATAATGCTATCCAATGGATAATTCGCTATCCAGTGGATGTGTTACCAAAACGCACTGCGCTATCCACCGGATAGAGATTTATCCAGTGTATAGCGTCATCCATCCTTTGAACAACTGGAGCCTGGTCTTTTAATTGACACAAGTTCTCTTAAATACATTGGCAGAATTCCATGGATGGCCTTAAAAACAAATAGCAGAATCTTAAAACTAATGCATTGCCTAACCGGTAGCCAGTGCAGCTCATAATAGCAACAGCGTTACGCGACAGTAGTGTGGCACGCTATATACATTTATATCAATACAACAAAAAGCATGAAAAGAAAAAATAACAACTAGAAGATTATTTATTGATCCAATACCAAACTCTCACAACTGATATAATAAGAACTGTATGGCAGACAGTAAGGAGAATTACTAATGAGATCTTCGGAGTGAGGGACTAATGGAATATAATAATTTCTTCATAAAAATAAAGTTTCCCTGATGACTCTTGATTTCTTCATGTACATGTACATGAGGCTACAATATATTACACAACACCAATGAAGCATTACAAAAGGAAAATTATCAATTTTATCAAAAATCAAATTAATACTACTTATTAGAAATAGTGCAATTTGGTTCTTGTAAGCACAAGTCAATTTTTCAAAAAACAACAAAATTGCCCAAGCCCATAATAAGGTGAATGCCATTTGTGGTCTTTGAAAAGTTTACAAATGCTTACTTAAACCAAATTGCACAAGAAATCATGTTCTTACTTATCAATAAGGTCGGCACACACGAGGGGACTAGTCCCTGCGACTAGTCCCAGCGACCAGTTTCATGCGACTAGTCCCTTCGTGTGAACTGTTTGTGTGACCAGTCCCTGTGACTAAACAGTAAATAAGCCAATCATGGGTCAGCATGACGCATGACTTCCGGTATTCGTAAACATTGCAGTTTCTATGAATTTTCCTTGAATTCTAGATTTCTACAACAGAAGAATAAAAAACTATTTCTAGTTTTGTAAACATATACAGATGTCTTGGAGCCGTTTTGATGGAATTTTTACCCTATTTGACTCTGTGTCTGTTAAAAATAAATAAATAAAAAAAAAAAAAACCAAACACGTAAAAGCATGAATAATCCGACTGAATAAGTGTAGTTCATTTGCGTTGATGTTTAATAGTGCTACAATGAAAAGTTGCAAAATTTTCACTGTTTTCGTGTAACACCCCAGACAAAGAAACATCTTTTGCCTCTTAATTTTCCTATGTTCTTGTGCAATTGAGTGCCCTCGTGTGAACACCTTAAGGGACTAGTCCCTGCTACCGGTCCCCTCGTGTAAACCCTTCAAAGACTTGTCACCGGGACTAGTCACACGAAGTAGTCGCAAGTACTAGTCCCCTCGTGCGTGCCGACCTATACTTTACACTCACATTACAAAAGAAAAGCCCCTCCTTTCAGCCAATCAGGCATGTGTATTTTTTTCATGCATAATTTTTTATGACAATAAATCAATCACGCACAATGCTTACCAACATAGCCATGTGTCACCTCTATTGGAAGATGAAAAGCATCCTTAAGAGCAAGTATGATAGCAGTGTTAATAATGCATGAAAGATGAAATTAAAATTGAAATTATTATATTTGACACGTTAGGTCTGTATTCCTGGCTCTCAACACTGGGATTAGTCATCCTTATCCAAAACTAAGCCTTAAACTTTTAACTCCCACAAATGATTAACAAGTTACTTCTCCTTAATATCCATACCTCTTATCCAGCAAACAGGTAAATAAGAATACTCAAATGTCTAATAAAGAAGTTTTTATCTTGATCCAACACCAAATTCTCATAACCAATTTACAAGGAAATATGTAGCAGCAAGAGGGGAGAATTAACAATCAGACCTTAGGAGTTAAAGGGTTAAATCTAGAAGAATTTGGTCCACATTAATTTTTAAACCAGAGTGCAGACAGTATCTATAACATAGCAGGTAAATTTGCGTGATCAAATAACATACACTCATTAAGGTGGCTGAACACAGTTTTCATGTGCACTTTTGCTGATGCAATTCAGCACGTGCACAAGGATTCCAAAAACCAAACATTTTGTCAATTGAGCGATCATTTTATTTACTCAACACATATCTGCACTATCTGTGATATTTTTCTCTATTATTGGCACAGTATATTGAAGGCTTTAATTTTTATTACAAAGACACGTTAGAAAAGTTAACAGTGCAAAGAACTAGCAATTCTCAGCTTTTTTGTCATTACTGAAAGAACCCAGTTAAATGCAGCACATGCGTAGCAAGTCAAAAAATTGCGATTGAATGGAAAATTGCTTTCTCAGAAATATGCCTTTTTCTTGAGAACCACTCATTAGAATTTCACGAAATTTGGCAGGAAAATACTTTACAAAATAAGTAACTGGAGTATTGAAAAAAAAAGATTTTTAACAAAGGAAATTCTAGATAATCGAGTGAACCTTCAACAAGGAATAATTAAAGATCTCCATTAAACTGTTAGCAAAATGATGTTAACTTGTGAGTATCATTGCAAGCTCATTGCATGCAAGTAAACAAAACTGATTTTAAAGGCCTGTTTATATTTATTCATGTCACCATGGCAACAGCACCTACATCAGCTTAAAGTGCACCTAAACCCAAAAATATTTTTTTTGCTTAACAAAATAAGCATATTTTTTGGATTATTTCTGTGCAAAATTTGTTTTATTTGCTCAAATCTTTAATTTCCAGTGCCCAGTCAAAATACGGAAAATCGGCTGCCATCTTGGCTCACGACCGAGTTTAAAGAGGAATGGTTCTAGCAGGTAATGTGACGTCAAATCGAGAACACGAAAGTCTGCATTTCACACATTTCCACTTGTTTGGGAAGGTTGTCGTCGATATTGTCCGAAATATGGCGACTAGGTGTGTTGTATGAGGAATGTATGAAGTCCAATACCCTCTTGCAAATTTCACACATTGCTACATCCTCCAACAACACACTTAGTCAGCATATTTTCGGACAATATCGACTACAACCTTCCCAAACAAGTGAAAATGTGTGAAATGCAAACTTTCGTGTTCTCGATTTGACATCACAGTACCCGCTAGAGCCATTCCTCTTTAAACTCGGTCGTGGGCCAAGATGGTGGCTGCTTTTCCGTATTTTGACTGGGTACAGAAAATTGAAGATTTGAGCAAATAAAAAATTTTTTGCACAGAAATACTCCAGAAAATATGCTTACCTCATTGAGCGAAAAAAAATTTCGGGTTTAGTGCACTTTAACAAAGTTTGTGTTGTTAACTTGTTTGCTGCCAGTTTTGGCGACCGAGAGATCAAGGGTTTTAGAGAAAATGGTGAAAGAAACACAGGTATCAAAAACTGTTCAGCCACATTAAGCATGTTGATGATGGAATTAATCTATACAGGTAACATTTAAAGTAATTAACACATTGAAAATGGAAAGCAATTGAATAATTGATTCATAGTTCAGTGTATGTTAATCAAAATATTTCTACTGTAGCTTTTACGTTTTTCAAACTTCCCATGTGCAAAATACCTCTATGAATAAGTGCTGATGCATGAATCAATCGTTCATTTCCAAGCCTGAGAGTTATATATACATGTAATACACATTACTATTTAAGGAACTGATGGATTTTTATGGGCTCATGTTGAATGGTGAAAAGAATGCCTTTTACTAGGAGCTTACCAATGCATCATCTCGCAGTTCAAGATCTGTTAGGACAACATTTCCTAAAAAAAAAAATCCAGAATTTATTGACATTCCATCAACATCCTACAATTAAAAATTTATCATACTTAGTGCAGTAGGGTGATAACGATTAAAGCTAAGAATGATAAACTCTTGGTTTCTAATTTTCAACACCTAAAACAATTGGATTGTAGCAATTAGGGAGTTAGCTCTGTCACGAAATATACAAAGTCACGCTCAATTCCATGTTTCGCATTCACGCATAAAGGGGCAAACAAAGCGAAATAAAAACACTTCAAAACTTGAATTCATTGCGAAAGTCAAATATCCTTAGATTCACCAGCACACACCTCAAAACAGCACCGCGCTAACTCAAACTTTGTTGTCAAAAATCGAACTTCCAGCTGAATCGGACGTGAAGCCATTTCCGTTAGGGAGCATCTACACGGAAAGGAACTCCCCTCGCTTTAAGCAGCTGTTTATTTGATTCCTCAGGCAGTACTCTTTAGAAGGTTAGGTTGACTTGTAATTAAAAAATTAGCTTCTGTTTTCATTAAATCTGTTTGTTAATTCTTTCCACAAATCAACTGCCATTCCTTCATGCATAAATTTGACAGGGCTTCATTTTCCAACATTTGCGAAGTAGGGCTGCCGGATATCATAAGACATGCACTTGACAATGACATATCCTATTACATCGAGCAAAACTGTGCGTTTCAACGAGAGCTTCAGCTTTCTATTCTCCTATTTACATACTGCTTTCGTTAAATGCTCAAGCTGTAGTAATGATGTAATTAAAAGTTTGCTTACCACTCAAAATTCCTAGTTCGAGATTCGAGCTGTCCAAATCTTTAATGTATTTTCCAAGTACCCCATTCAAAATGGATGCAGCGAGGGACTCTAACATGTCTTCTCCAAAAACACTTCAGTTCAGATCCTAACGCAATAATTCTTGCACAAATAAGTTCCGCTGCGAAACGGCATCGAGGCTTACATGACCACTAACTCTCGAGCTCCTTCACAAATTTGTCACAGATTTACAGCTGTTCTGATAACAAGGGAGGAACGAAAGTATCCTGCTAAATATTTGCATTGTATAAAAGACGTCAAAATTTGCGACAAAAAATTTGCTAACTAGTCGATTTATGAGACAAAGAAAGACAACTCCTACTTCTAAATGTATCTGTTCCAAAAAATATACTGTAAACAAATATGTATTGGTTGCAAATATGATACAGCAGTGAGGACTCTAACGGAGGAAAGATTGGGCCGAGTTAGAATGAAAGCGAGGCTTCTTTAAACAGCTGATAGTTACCTTGACCGTGTACAGCCCTACCCTACAAAACTGATTGAAAAAATGGATCATAAAAAGACACAAGCGATTCTACACAAGTAAATCAACAAAAGATTATGCTATGCTTGACTCATTCCATCCGTTGTAGCATCTGATACAGCCTTCATCAGATGTTTATCTATCTTCGGGAATTAAATAGACTTAGGAAGGTATTCCCGTATGAGATTATGACTCTTCATCACATATTTAGGCTGAATGCTTCTCAGTAAGGAAAACCCAGCCTACAGTGTACTAGCAACTTTGGTGTACCAGAGTCACGTGATTGTTCTCGAGCTGAAAATACTCACCATGTGATTCTCCGATACGATTCGAATGAAGTTGTGCGTTTTGTCAGGAGTTAAGTTGCATGATTTCTCTCAGACCTGTCATGACTTACACGTGCATAATCGACACGTGATTCTGACAACTGTGCGAGGGCGTAGGGGATGTAGTCAACAAGTCGCGTGAAAGTTGTTTGCCTCTACGCTAGAATTCTACGCTAGTAACCTTTCCCTCGTCTATTTAAAGAATTAAACCGCATTCATATTTTCGTATGTTTAACAGAACCAAGGGGTAGAAATACAACTACAAGAGACAAATTTATTTACACAGTCCGATTTCATCAGCTTAACCTGTATATGGTTATACTCTTAAACAGTTTAACAAAAAGCAGGTACTTCAGAATTAGAGCCTGTGGAGGTAGACGATAAGATTCCACCGTTGAAAGACTTTTACCATACTATTTATTTTCTCCAAGTTTTTGGAACAAAACTAATATTTATTTTTTTTCTCGATGTAATTTCATTGACATAGCAGAAACTTAACTCCTGCCAGTCGAATCCTTACATCAACATTAGTAAAGCAGTTCTCATAGAGGTATTTATTACGCGTGGACTTTCCAACAGAGTTTCACGGTAAACATACAAAAACAAATAACAAGAAGTCACTAATTGAAGCCCAAAGTTAGAAAGAACTGCTCGAAAATTCTAAACAAAGAAAGAGATGGAGTGCACCCCCATCTATTCACCTCATTCAATCAATTTTTATTTAATGTTTACATTGTAATGTCCGTTACTTAATCAAAAGCTTTACCTTGAAGACACCCATATATTACCCATGCATGTGATCTTAACCTACCATGTGTACAAACATTATACAAAGTTTCTACGAAAACCGCCCCGAAAAAATAGAAAAATATTCATGACTCGTAGAGTACAAAATAGGTCTGAGTTATTTCGCGTTAAAATTGGCACACTTTACTAGTTTCTGGGAAAAATAATGGCTCTGTGCTCCAAACTAAACTAGTGAACTTTTCATAAATGTTCAGCCTTGACCTTCAGCGACAGACAGAAATTTTTGAATTTAGCCTTTTTTTGTCACAATACCACTTTCTCGGCCTCTTTTTCCAATGCTTGCCCAAATATCAAACAAACCAATTGTAACCTCTCCATTCCTACCCTTGGCTAGAAAAGAAATCTAACTTTTGCTCAAAATGTTTTTTTTCTTTTCTATCCAAGTGTTTCTTGATCCTCCCAGTGATAAATCTTTGTAGTGTATGAATTTAGTGGTATATTCTTTGAACAATTTTTAATGTAACGATCTGAAAATGTCTCATCAGTCGCACAATACAAGTATTTTTTGTTTAATGAATTAATGAATTCTGCGCCGAGAAGTCGTCACTGAGACAATTCCACGATGGCAAAAATTGATAAATCACATGGGTCTTGGCCGAATGTCTTACCATTTCATTTTTCTGAACTAATTAAGCCTGACTGTATCCACATAAATATGTACCACTCACATATCAATATTCTGTCAACTTTACAGTATTATCCTGCAAAACAGCCTTTTCTCCACTCGAATTTAAGGAGGCTGAGTGGAACAACGGCATACGTGTTAAACCAAAACTCTCTGAGCAGGAAACCATTTAAAATGTCGAGATCTATTATGAGCATTAGGTGAGCCCGCGATGACTGCTGACTCGACTTAGTCTCGTCATATAAGAACACTGCACCCAGATAGACGGAAAAAACGGATGTTTTGCAGGTTATCTAAATATCGCTTGTTCAAGAACGTAAAAAATGTTCCTATCTATAACACGTACAAAAGTATCATTACAAAAGGAAGAATGCGGACAAAAGACACCCCATTGTTTATTTTGGCGACTTCTTTCTCGTTCTTCGCTGTGCCAGCAGCGAGGCATGGACGGGTTTTAGCCGCTTGTTGTCGGGGGAGGAGAGGGCCGAGAAAGTGGCCTTGACAGCTTCCTTAATTCTTGACACACTGCTGACTTGGTGAAGCCTGTGCTGAGGTAGTTGATATCGACTGACTACCCATGGGTGTTGAAGAACCTGTAGTAGAGTTAAACAATTAGGACGAGCCTCAAACGTAAGTAAATTAACAAAAGAAAACGCCGACACAGAAACAAGAGGAGCTTTTTCTAATCTAATTAGAACGCCATTTCTGGAGAATCAAAATGGCTGTGAGCCACTGAGGTAATGGAATGATGGATAGAAGGAGTGAATTTTGGGTTAAAACAAGTTACAAAGAAGTATTTTTTTTTTCTTCGAACAGTTAAGACAAGGATAAAACACTCACAAAAGTATCGAAGGCCGACGGGAAATGGATGATTAACGTTCGAAGGACCTTAATTAGCAATCGCAAAATAATCAATGCAAGATAATCCAGCCATAGGGCATACCTCTGACAACTATTTACGAATAACTATAAGCTCACCTGTTTGGCTGTCAGCCGCAGTCTTGGATTCACGTGAAGCATCTGTCTGACTAAATCCTAGAGAGTAATCAAAAAGGTGTCAATAAATGTCGGGAAAATCAGAACAAAATAAGGTCGATGCTTTGGGAGTGATGCGCAAGAAGAGTAAGGTTCCTTTTTATGGTGCGCCTTGCACCAGGAGTTCCGCGCAGCGCGCTAACACGAATATTTTTTCACTCGTTCTTTTATTCACGCGACAAACTTCGCCAAAAGGGAGACACTACTCACAATCTATGGAACGTTCAAATACAGACGTCTGGTAAGAAATCCAACAAATTGAATCAAAATGCATTTTAAGGTTGGTTCTAGACTTTCCAGTAAAATTTATTTGTTGGACTTCAGTAGAGCACAGATTCTCCTTGAGATCCTCACTGTAACTGAAATAATGATATGAATAATGACACCTGATGTAAGGTTTTCATGATATTACCTTGGCAACATCTGAGACGTGATCCCAGGCTCCCCCCACCAGGGAATATTTTCCTTCCCCGATTCTTGACAAAATGACCGTTGTAGAATCTTCTGGGCCGACAGCAAATGGTGTTTGCCTGAAAATGATAAACGAAGAAAATGTCATCCTCCGTCTCATCCAGAACTACACAAGTCTCCCTTTTGTACGCAATAAGGCGGTTTCTTTCTAGACGCTGGGCTGAATAATGATTAGTCAGACCCCTGTCAAAGTTCTCTTCGACTCATCTGAAATCTCCCCAGAGGCGGAGAAACACTCTTCTTTTAAGGCTTTCAGTTCTCATGAGCACTATTTAACAGTCACTCACCCAGCTAGCATGGTGTAGAGAAGTACACCCAAGCTCCAGATGTCACACGCCGCATCGTATCCCTGTTTCTTGAGCACCTCTGGAGCCACAAAATTTGCCGTATAGCATGGAGTCATTAGCAAACCATTTGTTGCTCGGATCTGTTTAGCAAAACCAAAATCAACTATCCTCAGAGACTCGGGGCTGCCTCTGTCGTCCGCGTACATGATGTTGCTTGGTTTTAGATCTCTGTGTACAACCTACAACGAAAGGAGAAAATTCTTATTTCCTGGATGGCTATGCAAGCAGGCAACAAGGGTGGGATTGCCCACTTTGTTCGCACAAAACCGAAATTTGTATCTTTTGCCTGTAAAACACTTTGTAAAACCATCACCAAAGTGATCACAACGACCAATCAAAATAAAGCACTAGGAAAACGCGAGTCGGGCCAAGTCGGAATTGGTTCATTTGTTTCTTCTGATTGATTGAGAGGCTAGCGCGAGTCTTATGGACCAATCACAGAGCGTGAAGAGGCAAGCAAATACATGTACATCCCAGAATACTTGCGTGATTTAGTTGAACACCTCTCAATCGCAGAGTGTTAATCGCGCAAGCCTACTCGGTCAAGATGACTGGGTAAAAACTAAAAATAAATAACGCTGCTAATATCTGGTCAAATTTACTTTAAGCTGTGTCAATAAAATAAAACCTACCCCTTCTTCATGAAGAAAAGTAAACGTGCTAGCCAGAGTGAACATGATGAGAGCAGCTTCTCTTTCTGATAGACTCTTGTGTTTAAGTATTCTGTCCAAAAGCTCTCCACCCTTCATCAGCTCCATCACCATAAACACATTTTTGTCATCTTCAAAGACCTTGGATGAAAAGAACGATAGACAAATATATATTTCCGTTAGGGGGAGTGAAGAGGTGGTTTAAGGAGCAAGGGGAGAGGGGCTGTGGAAACCTTGTTATATAAGTCGTTTCGATATCAACACTAACATCCTTAAGATTGACCAACAACTAATTTCTCCTTACAATATCAATACCTTGTCAAGTTAAGAGATAATGAGAAGACAGAAAAATCAACGAGAATCTCTCTACAAGTAAATATCTCAGCTTACATCTCTGAGGTGAATCACATTTGGGTAGCTTCCATAACGTAAAAGAATCTGTAAGGAAAACAGTTCATGTTAATCATCTAATCTGTAATTGATAAAATAGTGTCTATAATTTGGATATATCACATATGTTTGCCAATTAAAAATAATGTCAATACCTCTGTGGAATTATAAAATGCAAGGCATAGCTGCTTTAGGTGGAATTTTTTCATATCTCATTTGTTTCAAAACTTACCATGAATCTGACTAAGAGAGAGTGTATAATTGTACAAAACAAGCAAGACCTGGAAAATCAAACAGTGTATGAGGAATTCTTACCTCAATTTCTTCTGTAGGATCTCGTTTACTCTTATCTACAATCTGTAAAATCAGAACATCCTTTAAAATTCTCTGTGACTACTGTAAGAAACAAGTATGTCTTTTGCAAAATTCAAGTGAACAGGCAGTAAAAAAGGTTAAGTCTGTACTAGACCCAAGAGGCCTTTCCTGACAGAGTTCATCCCAGTTTCCAGAGCATGAAGCAACTAGGAGTATTACAAATCCCCCCTGGATGGGATGCCAGGCCATGTTACATGGTTACCCCCCCCAACATTTCAACTGTCAGCAATCAGCAATTGCTGATGGGTTTACCCTGGCTAAAGACGTAATTATTATTATTATTATTATTATTATTATTATTATTATGGCAGTAATAATAACATAATAATAATAATAATGCAAATATTTATACAGGATAACCTATCAGTTCTTAATAGAAAGAAATGCTAACAAAAGGGTCCTGTACTTAACTCATAAATAATTAAAAATAAATAAATAATTCTAAGAAATCTAAGATTTACATTTATTTAACTTACAAGATTTAAAAGATTTATGAGGTAATTGGATACTATTGAAAAAAACTTTTAAATTACACTTAAAAAGAAACCTTGAATTTAAACTTCTTAAATGCCAAGGTAAAGTGTTGTAAACTAGAGCCCCTTGAAAGGCAAAACTTCTTCATCCAAATTCTAATTTGACTTTGGGAAGATTTAGTGAACATCCATTGTTTCTAGTGTTAATGTTGTGTTCAATTTTGGTGAAATATCCTTTAAAAGGGGTACAGACATTATCCTATAGACAGTCAAATACAAGCTGGCAGGACTGTCTCTTTATTAGACTCTCCACTGTCTGGACTTGATAATTTCCACCAATAACTTTCTGACTTCGACGTTCTATGCTTTAAAATTGACTCTTACGGGAACGTGACCAAGAGAGACCCAGGGTTCCACAATATGTAAAAACAGGTTGAATCATTGCTTTGTAGATTTTCTCGGATGCCCAGATAATTTATCCTAAACAATGATTGGGCAGCAAGCAGTAACCAATCAATGCAACGACCAAAGTCCTTGCAATTAAAATTCCCATAGAAATTCCTAATTATGAAACCCTAGTAATGAAAGTCCTAAACTTAATTACTATTTAATAAAAACCATCAGACAAATACTAAAGGTTCCATATGTCACTATCAAAATGCTTAAATGTAATAAAACATCTAATATCCCCTCCTTCAATCTCAAAGCGCCTTGCCATATTGAGTGAACTATGGCAATTCCTAATCATAAAAGCCTTAGTCCTAAATGTAACTACTATTTAGTAAAATCCTCAATCTAATACTAAAAGTCCTATAACATCACTATGATACCAATTAAATGTGATAAAACATCTAATATCCCTTATCTCAAAATCTTAAAGCACCTCACAATATTGAGTGAATTTGTGATGACTGACTTCTGTATCTGCAGAGCTGTTGTGTCACTCTCATTTCCCACTAGCCCTTTAAGTGCCTTTCCAACATTTCTTGAATAACCTCCGAGTACATCCACAATGTTGTACTGCGTCACTCGATAATCAGGGTATTATCTAATTTATTTATTATTATTATTATCATCTGACAATTTGCCGCTACCCATTTATACTCCAGAGTGGAGAGAGGCACTCTAAAGGAGAAGAGTTTTGCCCAAGAACACAACACAATGACCCAGCACAGTCTCAAACCAGACTTCTCAGCCCAGAGTCCTGGGCATTAACCATTATGCCTACACAAACAGGTAGTAACATAACCCAATTTTTTGGGAGCCCTCCTTAGAACTAAAGATGGTTGGTGCACATACATTGTGCAATTAATCTGATGAAAATGAAAATTCTGTACCTTAACTGCACACTCTCCCCCTGATGCTTTATGAATACACTTTTTACAAACTGAAAACGATCCTTTTCCAATTTCCTGTCGACAAAAAAAAAAATGAATGACAAAAAAAGTTCAGTATCATAATTAGTGTCAAGGAACTAGGGAAACTGGTTCATTATATCGAGGGTTCATTAAATCAAGGTTCTGTGGCATATGTTTTAATTCAACTTTAGCCGGGCTAAAACTGAGGTATTATTTGTTATACCGAGGACTTTGTTAATATATAGAGGTTCATCAAATTGAGGTTCCACTGTATAATAACAAGCAGACAACTAATGAAAATAAAGAAAAATATCAATTAGGGTATTCCTACTTGGTCTAAGACCAAATTCTCCAAACTAACATCATATGAATTCTAAGATAGAGAGAAAGGAGAATTACTAATGAGATATCTTGAGAGTGAGGGGGTTATCTGAAAACCCCCACCACTCTACCACACTGCTCTCCTGCTAATAATTCATTAAAATAGATTCCATGTTCCCATGCATCTGTTCAAAAAATTTAGGAAAGATAACAGACATCAAAATGTGGTAAGAACAAAAAAGTGGCATATGAGGCACAGCAGAATGTGTCACTGAAGATGTTCTCTCCACATTTTGACACCATCTGTGATCTTTCCCAAACAGACAAAATAAAAAAAAATTAAATTATGTCCTCATTTTCTCCAAAACAAATTGTGCATGAGTTCACCTGTTTAATATCGTATTCTTCAAGAATGGACGTTGTTCTTATCTGGAAGATGTTATGCAAAGGCTGGAGTGAAATAAAAAACATTTAAATCAGCTTTAACATACATTAAAGTTAAGCTTAGATCTGTTAATATCAGTTGTTTATTTTGACTAAACTGTTCTTAACTTTACTTTTACTATAATATTATAGCTGGAAACACCCATGGGCTATGATCCCACGCACGTAAAAAAGTATGTGGAGCAGACTTACAAAGTTCATAGCTTTTGGACAATGTTGGCAATGAAGTCCAATAAAACGGCAGAAAACAGTAAAAACAAAGAAAGCATGAACGACCATTTTGGCTTTATTGTGCTACAAACAGAACTGGCTTTCTTTTCCAGCTCTCACAATAAATTAGTCCTGTTTGATTCCAACTAAAGCAAAATCTTTTTTGCCATAAAATGAATCCCTAATTGACAATGCTTGTTTGGTTAAGATGCATGGCTGGATATCAACCTCATTCTTTTTATGCATTTTAATGGCCATTGACCCTGCTTCTGTCGATAAAAACACATAAAAGAACTCCACAAATATCCAGCCATCTTGACTTCGTGAATAACACAAATGTTAAGAGCAATGAAGTTGGGAACTTTCAAACTAACTCAATTTCTATGTTTCAAAATAATGAACCTATCAAAAAAAAAAACATAACTTTCAACCAAAGGGAAAACAAAAAATTAACCAAAAAAAGAAGAAAAAAAAAGCAAGCAAGGTACATATTAAGAACTTGTAAGTTATTAGTAACTAATTTCTTACTCTATGGTCAGTTTCCATTTTTTCAGGACCATTGGATGTCATTTGGTCAGATTCCTCCTGAAATATAAAGCAAAACGATTAGTGAGCCAGTGCAATGGCAAGGAAAAGTCACAATTGCTTATTGTGCAACTGTTAAATCCATGTACACAGTTGTACATGGGGTTGTTATGACAGTTAGTGTACACACAGCTGTACATTAATTATCAGAAGGGAATACCAACACAGAAATGCACCATATCTTGAAACCAAAAGATAACATGCTCAAAGAAAATCATTTTTACCTGGCTCGTAAAGTTTCAAAGAGCCACTTGAAAAAGACGGAATCATGTAACTTACTTGTACAAGTAATGGATCCACAAAACTGAATCCTCTAAAGAGTTGATGACATGTGGCACTTGGAGGAACAGCTGGGGAATCTTAGAATAAAAGATAACCTTTTAAACTTTTCACTCTCAGGAATAACCAAAAATAACATCTCCTTCAAAAAGGCAGTCAGAAAAACATCATGTAAATGTAGGAAATATTGTTTCAGAATTTAACACCAAATTGTGAGATAAAATTATCAAGAAATGCATAATTATTAGAAGATAGTGCAGGGGATCAATTTTAAGAAATTGGGAGTGAAAGGGTCCACTAAATTTTGTAAACGAAAGCTAGGTTGTGCCAAAAGGAAATGCTGCGTTTCAAATTAGTGATGATAGTGGAACCTATTCTCAGGTGTGCAATATGTACAGTGTGCGCTTCACAAAATCTTAAGTTTTAGTTAGGTTTTAATCAAATGACCATTTGAAATAAATGTTACACGAGTTACTCTTAGTTCATATCTAGTAGCTAAAATGTGGAACTCACTCCCTGATCCTTTCAGAACTACTGATATCAGATAATTTTCTTTAAGTCATTACATGTAGCTCTGTACAGCTGCTATCAAATGGAAAACAAAGTGAAGTTTATGTGATTTCTATCTGAAGTTTATTTTATCATGTATTCTTTCATTCTATTACACAGTTGTGCAACAATTCAAACTTGCACAAGGAAAGTTTTACTTTAATCAAAGAATTTCAGCTTCTATGACTGCAGTGGTCTGGAAGTAAGATTAAATGACAATAGTTTCTTTTTTAACAATACCTTGAGGTGTCTTAGAGGTAAATTCAGGATCAAAATAAAATGCATCATCTGCTCTCCCAGCTGCAGGCTTGAATGGGGGCCTCAGTTCTTTTTTGTATAATTTCTGAAAATATGAAATTCACCTTTAGGAATCAGCACAACAAGAAAGAGCAAGGTTACACTCCACCAGACCCTGTATGCCACAAGAGACATTATTTTTGCTTTTGGGTGACATGTACAACTAGGTGCTTGTAAGAGCTCTTTGTCTTTCAACTCCCAAAAGTAATTAACACATAACTTCTCCCAATAGTATCGGTACACTGTCCATCATGCAGGTAATGAGAATACTCAAACTTATCAGGTAGAAGTTGTTATCCTGATTTCACACCAAATTCTTTTAGCAGCAAGAGGGGAGAATTAACAATCAGATCTTGGGAGGTGAAGGAATAACAGAAGAGTAACTCCAGTTCTAGGACAAGAGCCTATAATCAGTCCTTAAGCTTTGAGGAATTATTTTTTGACCACCGAATCAATAAACATTGGAGAGCAGCAAGAGCTTTCAAAAACAAACCTCCCATTCTATGGATGAAAAGAAGGAATGTGCCTTAATATCTTCAATGCCATTCTCACCAACACCTGGAATGATTAAGAAATTTGTTGAGAAAATAACCCTCAAAATAATTACAGATCAGACAACAGCAATCTCTGCACAGTATATGCATGCTATTCCTAGGCACGGGGTTCATATAAAAAAAAGGCTTTGCCTGAGGTCCCGAGTTACCACCATGAAATGAAAGTTGAGGGCCACGGGGCCCAGGTGCACAGGTCAAATTTCTGTTTATTTTGCCCAAAAAATCTGTCATCAGTTCCATGAGACAAGTGCAGCCTCATATTATTTTTCAACCAAATTTTGTCAAGCCTCCTTAACTTACCAATCTTCAAAGGCATAGCCATCCTGCCTCAGAGTATGACAAATTTTTGTCAGGCACAAAATCTCACAGATTTTTCAATTTAAAAGCCGAGGCAAAAAGTCAATCAAGAAATTTTTTCTCCATTTTTAAATCCAAGTCCCAAGTTCTGTTTATTCTCAGGATTGACACTTTGTGGTCAACAAATATTTTGCTATTTTCAGTGCACCTACGATTGACAAATTTAGAATTTCATGGAAAAAAATTTTGGAGAGATTTTTGGTGCACCCAAACAAATTAATTTTTGTCAGCCCAGGCCCATACTTAAGACCAAGTGCACAATTTTTTTTTCCCATACAGACCAACCTTGACCAGTAAACAAGTCATTTTTTATTTTTTTCTGAAACAAAATCTACCGTGAAACAAATCCACTACCTGGATTTGTTTCACGGTAGCCCCGAGTTTCAAATCCTCGGCCATGCTTGTAATATAGCCAACTGGTTTGCCTTCGGCCAGTTGGGATTCTTAATAATGTTATTTTCAATTTGAATTATTTGTTTCAGTTGTTTGGTGGAAAACCTGTAAAATAGCTTCTAGCTAAGTGCTTCTCCACATTAAAAACTGTTTATTTTTATTTTCTTTATCTATTTTTTTATTCTGCTTGTTTGCTTTTTACTCTTTGCTGCAAATGGCACAGAAAAATATCCAGACCATTGTTGGTATTGTAAAGAGCTGGACCAGTTACAAGCACAAAAAGTCTGTGCTTATACCCCATAAAATAAAAAATCAAAGCAAGGCATTGCCTAGAAATTCCAGTGAAATAATTTTTCCCCAGCTCACCTAATCTGTTTGCTGGATTCCTTTTGAATAGCATTCTCAGAAGACTTTGAGCATCTGGTGATAGGAACTGAGGCATGCCAAGTTTTGCTCTGTTAATTGTAATGTTCAAAATAACACACATTAGTTATAAAAATGCAACTTATCAGAAAAACAACAATTTAAACATGTTAACCTATTTTTGCAAACTGAAGTCAAAAGTAATTTGATTTTATCAACAGTGATAAATATCAATTGACCCTCTGTAAAGAGTTCCCAAGACTGATGTTTCACACATCAGCCCTTCATCAGAGCAAGTAACTAAAAGTGACCAGTGGTGAACAAAAGTGACCAGAGGTGAACAAAAGTGTTTTATGTGTAGAGGACCAACTATCAACCACAAGCTGCAAAAGGTTATTGTTAGATTAAGCAATTACATCCCAATGTACATGTAGGAGCATTGCCACCCCCTCTGTATGGGCCACATCAGGTATAGTAAGTCACAGGTAGCTGGCCCCTACTTTCAGAATTTCACCCTCTAACTTCCCTCAAGAAGAGGAAGGTCTTTACCAAAAAACACAATCAGGGTTTGAACTTGGAATTCCAACCCAAAGACCTGTTAGCAAACCATTCTGTAACAGCACTGCAACTTTTGATGCTTCTGCTGATGTTGCACATTTCTTATCATTTACAACTATCAAATATCTTTAAAAAATTATTTCCTTGCTATTATATATTGATATTCCCAAGTTAACAACGACAGCTCAACATTAACTTCTGCTGTTTATTCTATCTGACATACTTTAAAATCATATTCATGGTATCTTTTCTGTCTTTCCCTTGAAATGGGAGAGCTCCTGTCAACATCTCATACTATAAGTGGAAAGAAAAGGGAAAATTTCATATTTAGACAAACAAAAAAATGGAACAGCAAATATTTCATTATAAAGTGATATCAACCTCACAATCCCTTTTAAAGAATCGCTATCAAATATTGAGAATTTCAGGGGTTGAGAGTTGCCTAATCAAGTGCTAATGGAGAGACCAAGCAGTTGCACCCCAACATCAGTATGCATCTTCTCTACACTGTTCTCTATACATTTCCTAAGATGCTGACAAGGACAATTTGTTTAACAATCGAGAGATTATTTAGGTGCTGATCATTTTCTTTATCCTTATGACCTTGAGGTGTGATTCGGGCATGAAATTGTAAGGAGAAATTATATACTGATCACTCTTAGGGTTCAAATGTATGAGCTTTGTCCATCAGGAGTCCATTCAAATGATGAGCCCTATGAAGACAGTGAAAGAAAATTTTACTGACCATGAGAACACCATAGGACCACCAGTCTGCAGCTTGTGTATGACCTCTTCTGTTTACCACCTGGAAGAAGAAGAATTGAGGAATAATTGTACCTTGTAACAAGTACACAATTTTTTTTGTGTGTACCTGTTACAAGGTACACAAAGAAAATTCTTTGTTGGCCCTTTGTTCCATAAAGTGAATGAATCTCCAAGATACTTTTCTATGAAGGATCAAGCACTATACAGAAACACACTATCTGATTTACAGATACTTAATTCAGTTGAAGGATAAATATATCTTATTAACCAAGCACGAGGGCCGTACAGGGAGAATATTGGCCCGAGGTCTTGACAGTACAGACCAAGCGTAGCGAGGTCCGTACAAAAAAGACCAAGGGCCGATATTCTTCCAGTACGGTCCCAAGCAAGCTTGGTTAATAAGACATTTATTATACGACTGAAGTTCAAAGGGACACATGCACAAGTGCGGTATCATTCGGGACCATTCGGGACAGTGCCCGGTCCAATACTGAGAGAATATTGACCGGCAATAGGGCATTTTGATTGATTGATTTTAGTTATTGGCCCTCTGACTGCCTGAGTCACGTAATAAAATTGAGAATTACCTCTGGAGCCATGTACTCAACTGTTCCACAGAATGAGTACGTTTTCTGATCATATTCAGATTCTTTAGAAAGACCAAAGTCTAAAAAAAAAAAAATTAAAACCACTTTTAATTATTAACAATAAAACTATTAATCCTTTCATCACCCTAAAGAGTGACTAGAACCCAATTTCTCCATACCATATCACCCTGAATCAAACATAATGGTCTACAGAATGAAAGAAATGATCAGCGGCTAAAGACGTGCTGGATTGTTAAACAAATTTTAGAAGAAAATTCATTACCTGACAAGGGAATTCCTCATTAAATTGCATGTGAAAACTAATATCACATGAAACACAAAGCAGTGAGTGCGATGTTGGTTTCCAAGTGCAATTCAATGCAGAATTCCCAAGTCAGGTGATGGATTTTCCTTAAGTGCCTATAACCCCAAAAAAATTTTTTGACCATATTAAATCTCTCTATTGCACTGAGCAAAATGCCACAAAAATTTTTGTGTTTAGTTAAAACCCCAATTTTTTATGAATTTTCAAAGTCCTGGAAAATCGCATTTTTCCAAAACACGACCTAGGCACGGAATTATCAAGATGGGTCTGTGTCAAGCACAGTTTGTGACATAATTCCAGGCTTTCCAATACGTTTGCTTCAAGGACTGGATGAAGTATCTTGACGGATATGCCTGACAAGTGCGTTGTTTTCGGGTGTAGCAACACTGGGGCAGATGACGCAGAGAAAAAAAAGAGAAGAAAGAAGTGGGTTGACTTTGTGCAATTGAAGCGTGCACATTGGAAGCCCACAAAATACTCGGCCATGTGTTCCAACCACTTCCGAGAAGAAGACTATTCAGTCATGTTTTCTGCTCTGACTAGCAAGACTGATCAACGAAGGTTGCAAAAAGATGGAGTTGGAATTTGCATCTTTCCGACTGAGCACGTGTGGAATGTCAGAGGAAACGAAATCAACTGAAAGCGAGCGAAGTAAGAGAAAGGTAAGAAAAATTTACCAGATCAGGCTTAAATGAAGGTTTCATCTCATTGGGAACATATAATATTGACTGAGATTGGATCAGAGCCCCACTGCCGATGGCCTGGAATGACGTCACTGGCCCCAGTCTCTGGTTCACTCGGTCGTTCGAAAACTAAACTCGACTTTGAAAAATCATAAAAAATCACGGTTTTAACCAAACACAAAAATTTTTGCAGCATTTTCCTCAGTGCAATAGAGATTTGATATGGCCAAAAAAATTTTGGGGAGCTATAGGCACTTTAAATTGCATAAAAGAGTAAAAATAAGAAAAAAAGAAAACAGCCTTAATATTGCTTGTTTTTATCCTGAGCGTGCACTCCAGAAAGCCATTTCAAAGTCAAGAAGAACCTCCTGCTCACTTTAAAAATCACTTTTGTTTGTTTGTGGCTCTTCAAAAGGCAACAATGGCTTTGAAAACATTCTAAAATGACATTGTAGAAATACTTTCTCGCAGTCATGGTGTTACAATTTGACAATAGTTGTGATGCTTATATAGACGTGAAACAATATCACTTAGCCTCCTTTTTAACTCACAATTCCACAGTAAATACCTCGCTTCATTAACCAATCAGAATGTGATATTTTATTCAAAGATGCGATTCTCGTTATCGGCACCTTAGGATATGTGGGAAGGACAGCATGGAGAATATGCATGCTGAATTGAGGGTGTTAAGGGTTCAATAGTGATTCCTCAATGCACAAGAGATGCAGTTTAACTTCACCAACCTGTCAGTGTAACATGACCACTAGCATCCAGTAGAATACTGAAAATAATAAAGGATAAGATCTAGTCTTAGAACATTTATCAACAAAGTCATTGATATAAAATAATCAAGTTTTCCCATGGAAGCTATAATGATCAAGGCACCTGACCCCACCAAAGGTATAATTGAACATAAATATGAGCAAAAAAAACCTTAAGTGACTTGATAGATTACTGAATTCACCGATCAAATTATCTTGTGTTTGCTTTTGAAACACAGGGAGAACCTGTTACTGCATCAACTCACTTGGGGCTACATATAATATATATTCTATCCTTCAATTTTCTCCTCAATATGGAAACACACAGCTATCACAGGTTATGCCACACCCCAATAATGCCCTCAATATTTTTGTTCCATCCACCTGACAATTTCCAAGTACTTCATGATGAAAAGCACTGTCAAAGATATCTAAACAGGTCCACCTGCATCCCAAACATTTTCTTCAATTATTTTCACCAACTGGAGTGGTTTTCTAATCCACTTTAGGTAGTCCCCCTCAACAGTTGGTCCGATTTTTCAGACAATTCACTAGCTCTGATTTATACCCCTCACTCAAAAAGAGAAAAAGAGTTAGGAATTTGAACCCTAACAGATGCTGGCAGAATTCAGCAAACAATAAAGTGGTCTGATGCATTGCTAAAAAATGTATTCAGCACATAGTATAGATAATCGTTAAGAAATGCTCAGATTTACACATAAATTTACGCTTACTTTTCAGGTTTAAGATCTCTATAAATAATACCAATCTTGTGAAGATGATCCAAAGCTAAAGCTAACTCAGCCAAGTAGAATTTCACATCTTCTTCTGTAAACATTATCTGTTCCATAGGGACAAAAAGAGGACAAAATGAATGTATACTAAAAAAAAAAAAAATCTCAGAACACATTGAAGAACTTGGTAACACACATAATGGCTGGCTGCTGGATATCTTTGACAAATACAGCTTCTGCCACAAGATGACATTAAAAAACTTGATACCTCATCCCATTTACTTTTCAAAAACACTGAAGTACCTAAAAAAATTACCTGTGCCAAAACATAATAAATTTTTAACTCGTCATACCTCTTTCGATAACCTTGTGAATAAATCCCCTCCTCTTAGAAAATCAAGAATCAAATAAACTTTGCCTTCTGTTTGAAAAGCTGGGAATGTAAACAAGTAAATGTTAGACTAAACCAGGTTTTTCACCTAGTCTTGGGAATACTCATTAACTAGAAAACTATTATTTAGCCTGTCTATTTTCAACATTGTTTGTTTATTTATTCATGAATTCAGTCATTCAAAATTTAAAGCCAACACTTTCATAATATGTACGTTTTAAAGACATACAAACACTAAGAAATGCGCTAAACAGTACGCAGATCCTCTTTAAAAATCCTAAACACTTCAACCTGTTCATTGTCTTTCACCATGAAATAATTTAAATTCTAAACAAATGTTTATTTCCTTGGATTTTAAAGTTTATAAAAAGTATAGTTAGGAGCTGTACTCCAAAGTCTGTGGAGCTCCGATCCAAAGCTTTGCACGGAAGTAAAGGATTAATTAAACTTGAAAACGCAGAGGCTATAGCTCGCGAGAGCATATTGGTTTAGATAGTCGTTTCAGGAAAATCCAAATAAGAATTAATTAATATAAATTATACCCACCATAGTGGAGTTTAACAATGAATGGATGCTGAACATCTACCAGGATGTCTCTTTCTTTCTTAGTTCTCAGACGATCACGAACTAGAGCCGTAAAATAGAGCAGCGGCCATTATTACTTCAAACCTACTTCAAAACGTCAACAAATTGCACTGAACGATACTATATGGAACAACAACTTTGATAGTAAAAGAAAGGGTTTTCGCAAACCAATCCACAAGGTAAATTAACAAGATAAGCAATTAGTTCTTCCAATACCGATTGCTTTGAGTATGAGCACAAAGGATGTGCGGTGAAATTCGAATAAGTTACACAATTATCTCTAATATCGAAGATTGTACATTTCACCTCCTCACGCAAAGATTGAATTCACACATGGAGCAGTGATAAAACCACGATTTCGCGGAAACTGAAATGCATTACACTGGAAACAGAAATCCTAACTAATATAACAAATAAACGGAAGAGTATGCTCACCTTTAAGAGTTGCCTTCTTCAAAACTTTCATTGCATAGAGGTTTCCCGCATCAGCGTCCGTCAACTTGCGCACCAAAAATACCTACAACAATACATTTGATAGTTTGACGTCCCAATGAAGAACGTTTACAAGCAGTAGACACAATGATAAATGAGCTACCCACAGAAACATTCATAAACACTGAAGTGACGCTGTATAAAGATTGATGCGTGAAATAGCCGGTATAACGTAGCAGAGGTCACAAACTTCGTTCCATTATGACGCCAAGAAGTACCTTTTTCTAATTTAAGATTTATTCACCTTGCTCGGACAAGGATTGGTAAGACCACAAGCGAACAAGGACATGAAAGAATTACCTTGCCGAAGGAGCCCTGTCCAAGAACTTTCAGCAGTTCGAACTGCGAAGGGTCAGCTTTCTGGCATGCCTTCGAATTCACAAATTCTTCGGCAACATCGATAAGCGAGGACGTTTCCTCGATGGGCTGTAGTGGATAGAAAGCAGCAAGCTTTGGTCAAGCAATTTTCGGACAAATACTTCGAGCTAAACATAATGTTGAGTCAAAAGAATCCCTTACTCCGTTTTTATTTTCATCAGTCATTTCTTCGTCTGCAACCTAGGAGGATTGTGAACAAGTAGAGCTATTAAGTGAATGAGCTTCGACCCCAGAAATTGAAATTGAAACTCGGCACAAAGATCGAAAATTGTCATAAGATGAAATCACCTCCGTCTCTTCGTGTATTTTCATTTTCTGCCAAGGGTCGGCTAAATACGCCAAAGGCATGTTGAATTTCTCCGGTCTCCCAACCCAATTCTTCCTCTTGCCTACCGAAATGACCAATGTTCCAAAAACACGATTTCCCTGAACAATCTCGACTATCAGAACGAGGCTGAACTAAGCCACGCCAAAATATTTCATTCAAAACCGGAACCGGAAATGCTGCGAACGTAGCCAAATTTTGAGACATAACATACCAATTTTTGCGCGTATGATTTTACCAGTAGCAGTTATTCATCGTTTGACCAGCAGATGAAACTGATGTACATAAGCAAAAATAGAGTCGACGGAGTGGTTCGTGACGATTGTCAAGAAATATCTAAATTGTCAATAAGTGGGCTGAAGCGTGATTATTTATACAAGTAAATTCATCTCTGTTAGGCTAAACCGAAAAATTTACATAGAATTACGTTTTTTGTCTTAATTAAAAGAAGTTTTCAGTTTTGGACACAGTACTCACAAAAAATATAATGGAAACAACTAGCGTCCGCTTCAAACATGCCATCATCTCCTGATTAATAAACGGCATAGACGAACGCTAATGATAATTTTAACCACAGGATATGACAGGCACATTAAAACTCTTGTTAAAATGATTTCCATGAGCGATTAGCAGTTTTAAATTTTAAATCGCTTCTCATCAACTTTTTTTCTTTTCAACGGAATCGTCGCTAGAGAAATCATCCATGCGTTTTTTTTTCCAAGTACTCCGATTTAGCTCGGTCAAACATCTCACTTTGAACCGACAAGTCACAAAATCAAGTCAAGAGTTTCCATATTGTAAATAAAGGAAAATCAAGCCGCGACGTCAGTCGATTTTGTCTTGATTCCCATTACCGCTACTGTTTCGGTTCCATCGCGAAACATGGATTAAACTCAAGGCGAAATGGAATATTTAAATGCAACGTACAATCGCCCTTTTGAATAACTTACAAGCTATGACACACCGTACAAATAATTTGACTGAAACATTGACAGTAAATTGTTACCTTATTCACCATTTTCACGAGTTCAGAAGCGACCTATCCCGCGTTTCTCTCTTTCTTTTTCTCGAGTAAATATGACAAAATTCACACCGTCAAGACACCGCTATAAGCTTCTGAAATAAGAGGAGCAGTCCAATATGAGATCGTAACTCTCTGGCACGTAGATTAGGCGAATTTTTTATGTTAGGCTATGAAGTAACAACAGCAAATTTGCATACAACTCCCCACAGCACTTCCGGAACTTTCCCTTGAGGCGATTACGTCATCGCTGGTAAGCCAGATGCCTTTTATAGATGCTCGCAGCTGTGCTGTGGTTTCCGCGATTTAGAATTTATGACTGAAAATACTCCAACCTTTGTAACTCAATCAGATGATCATCTGATCAGGGAAGTTTTTTTAAAATAACTAACTGAATGAAAGAGTTTGAAATTCTCCCAAGTCCCTATTCTGTAAATAGCACAGACAACTTGCACCTTTTTAGGTGCGAAGGAAAATGAGGCGTTACCTCTAAGAAAGAGAAAGAAAATGGAGACGCATGATTTCGTTTTGAGGACAAATGTTTACAGAAGTAGATTATACAGATGTGGAATCTAAAAAAAGGAAAATTAAGGTATTTATCTAAAGAACAGAAAAATGCCTTAAATGTAAAACAAATGAAAGAAATGTCAATTCAAAATCACGTGATTTTGAGGCTATTTCAATGTGACAGACAAAACAACTTTTACCAAAGCTCATTGAACAGTCACGCGGACACACGGCCACGTCACGAGAAAGAGCAGTGAGACGAAATTAAGACCCAGACCCACCACTTAATTCTATCATTTATTTTCCAATCTAAAACTTTGAAGAAATAAGTGCTCACTCGAATTAACCGCAACGAAGGATCGCTTTGTGACAGAAACAAGAATTTAGTTGCGGAAGTCGTAGACATCGGACAAGCTATTGGCAAAATAGGCAGATGATCTGCACCATAGTTAGTATGTCTGCACCTAGAGTAAACATTAGCCGAGTACCTAGCGCCATTGAAAAACACTTCAGATGTGGCTGTTGATTTGTAAATAGCCGGGAAGGAAGCCATTAAACTTGTCATTAACAGATGACAGTCGCTTTCCTGCAAGAAAAGAAGTTTGCCACCTCTCAAAAAGGTCGTGCGGTCAGTCGAGTAGCATTTCTGGCATTTTTTCTAGGATTAACCTTTTAATACTGGCATTAACAGCTCAAAAGAATCAAATTTTGGAGAGCTTGCTTTTCCGACACTTCCGTTTTGTTCAGGCAGTGCTTTCATGGCGATAATTTGACGCCCGTGGAAATAAAATCTCAAGCACTCTAACTTTCGACTGGTCAAGATTTTACGAGATCTAAAAGAACAAATTACTGATACGGTAAACTTCAAACATGCAATAAAGCCATAGACACGCTATTCAACGTTAACCTCTAAAGGAAGTTACGGGGGCTCAAATTTTAAGGGGAACTCAGAAAATCCAAAACCGCGCCAGTGTTAACTCTTATTTTCCTTCCTCCCTTCCTGCGAGAAAATTTTTAGTGAGATAAAAAATCATATCTGTCATGCGGCCTTCACACCAAAAACTAGCAACATTTAGCGTTCAACTCATGCTTTTCCAATCGCTGGATAAATCGTCCACAATCATTTTCAAGAACTGAGTCGAGATAATCAGCAATTTATACTATCAATCCCTGAGTGAGAATCATTAAGTCTACGGTGAGTCATCCCGTCGAACTCACGCTAAGATTATAGATTAACTGATTAACTCAATAACTTTAGACAGTTCTTATGATTTGATTTTCTTTCAGGTGCTCTCCTGACTTCATAGTGTCTTTTTTGTTCCCATGATTATCTCGTCAATCCCGATAAACTCTACTTTAGACCAGCTGGTCC